CGTCCACATCGAACTCGTCCAGTGGTCATCAGTCACCTTTCGCCGCTATATACAACGTAAATGGGTCGCTTACTGACATTGACACAACAGATTCTGGTTTAGCCACCTCCATAGAGAGTGTTGCCTATTACGGCGCTGAGGAACAGGAATCCATCGACGAATCGCCACCAGTTCTAGAAGAGAAGGTAACGCCAAATTCAACTATAACTACAACACACCTGTGAATGAGTGAGAAAGAACTGAAGAAAGATATCTGCGAAATACAGGTGAGTTAACGCATACTTATAAAGATAAAAGAGTTCGTTTGCTTTTTTTTTTTTTGTAACGCTTTACGACTAATGGCCTCAAGGGGTTGTCTTTAAGTCTACTTTAAATACCCATAATCACCTACAAAGCAGTAATTTCAATAAAGTCGCAACTCGTTACTCACTAACAGACTTTAGGTTTTTTATTCCGTTCATCTATATATATATATATATATCTTCTTCCGGCTTGGTTTTATACGGGTTGTTGTGTTCGGCGACGTTGAAAAATTTGTGGCGTCATTAATACTAATCTGTGTTTTATTATAGTACTATGTACTTACATATACATATAGGGACCCCTATACGAAGTGAGCGGGATTTCCAACTTGAAAGAACAGGTTAGTCGCCGTACACTATTTGCTATTCCATATGAAATTGAAATCGCCTATAGGCCGCCGTGAAAATGATGTTTCACATGATATACATATATTAATTGTAGAAGACAAGCTTAAGGAGGATTCCAGAGAGTTGAATATGTAGAACTAACAGCACTGGTTTCCAACAAACCTGAGAATGAGAAATGCCAGACAACTGCTGATAAAGTGTAAGACAGTGTCTTCATTAGGCTGGGTCGATTTTGTATGGGGGAAAATAAAAGTCATTTGACCGCATTGTAATAGTAATATTATGATGTCTTAGGTCTCAGCCAATTGTTATTGGCCACGAAAGATTAATTTAATACTTATCTTTAGCCCGCGCAATTGCATCAAAGTATACGGATTTTGAAAATGAAACTTTGGCTGGTAATATCTATGGAATGCGTTAATTTTTGTAAATAGGACGATATATCAAATTAAGGGCTATTCAATTTAGAACCTCACGTTCATTTATCATTTTTCAATAAGTCTACACGTTTTTAAGATATTAAAATAAAAAATAAGAAAACTATGATTTTCCCTTATGAATTTTCAATTCTTCATTACTTCAGCAACCAAGTGAAAAATACAAAAAAGTGAGACGAGATTTATTTCAAACCTTTTAATGTTTATATAATATTAAAATGACCATGGACTTGGTCACGCCGATTTGGTCAGTTTTCAAGATCGTTTTGAATGAATGTATTGTCAAAGATGAGGAATCGTTCGACAAGTTAATAGTAGTTTCAAACATATAAGTATTTACATACATTACAATTAGGGTGAGAAACGCCCATTTTAAGTCCATTTTTGCAGTCTTGAAAACTGGTGCGGCATGGTTTCATTAGTCGCCGCAGAAGCACATTTTTCGCGGTTTCTAAATTTGCCGTTATATGAAAGTAGGGGACGTGCAATAAGTGTTTAGATATACATAAATATTTTAGTTAATTCCATTATGTGAAAAAGTGTCTGTAAGTAAATGCAATAGTCTTTAACATATCCTGGGAAATCCTTTTGCGGACTCTCCAATTGGACGATATTGCTTTGCATTCAGCTTGAACGAAAAAAGTCACTAGCTTGCACAGTTTTCTGTAATCCGGTTCTTTTATTTAAAGGTTATTTATACAATTGAAGAGAAATTTTTTTAGAAAAAAACTGGAAATCCACTTAAGTTTTTCGATATAACTTTGGTAAATGTTACTCGAAAATTAATTAACAAATTGAAGGCGAGACTTAATGTTACTGATTTTTGATAATAATAAGACTAAAATAGTTCAGATTATAAACCAATTATTTAAAATAAAAAAAATCTTGAACAAAATTTTTTATCATTTTTTTATATTTGCAATTTTTATATTGTATGCATAAACATAAGTAAACCAATCAGTGTGTCTAGAAGTTGTGCCTGTTCAGTGTTTCCATACTAATTTGCATAAACAAAATTTTTCCGTGATGATGGAAAATAATGGCTATTCTATTAGAGCTACCGAAATTATTCCTAAATTTGCAAAAAATCGCAAACTATAGCTAATATTAAAAAAGGATTAGAATATTTGGAACTAGCGATCTAAATGCACGCCAGCAATATTAATATTGTTCTTTACATATTTTGACTATAGGCCAGTGCAATTATCAAGAGAACAATTAAAATTTTCTTGAAAATAGATGAGTTTGATATTAACGATAAGATAAAGGTCTGCGCGAAATGATACTTGACTTTATCTTTTGCGTTAAAGGATTCATTATCTAATAATATGCACCAAAATTTTTGGCTAAACCCAGCATTTTTAACAAGAATTAGTCTTATTCGATTAGTGTGCTGTGGGTCACTTGGCGGTCGATGCGCGGGCTCTTACAATTAAAATGAAAGACTAATATTTCGCAGGCTTGTTGTTGACTTCATGATACAATATATTTTCACTATTACCAAGGGATTTGAGAAAAATTAGATTTTCGACCCGCCCTAGTCTTCATCTTGTAGACAATATACAATAGAAATGTTAAACCCTAGTTTCAAACTCTGATAAGATCCTAGAGTATCCAAGGTCTGGTTCTGATAAAAAAAGCCAAGAAAGCTCAGTCTGAAGGCATATCCAGCACCACTAAGCGAGACAATATGCTCATGTAGGCAGATTTTGAAGCCAAGAAAGTCTAGTCTGAAGGCATATCCTGGACCTCTAAGCGCTCATGTAGGCAGCTTTTGAAGCCTCACCAAAAGAAATAAATCTAAAAGAGTTATACTGGGTAATTCATTAAGTGCAGAACGATGGCAGTTAACATCTAAGCCTTGGCCAAAGCCAAGAAACTACAGTATTGTTAACGCCAGTTTATCTGATGCTCGCAAAAGAAAAACATTGTCAAAGGCAGCCATGAAAATCCCCTGACGAAACACCCACCTTACTTTACCTTACTAACTAGGATTTGCAGAGCAGTTTCACATGATTTTCCACCCTATTAGGAATATAGGGCCTTTTGCACATGTGCGTCCCACACTTTTTTGAGCAACTTTAGTAAGACTGATGTACACATACTTATTGGCCGAAATTATTTGATCAGTATATTATCTCTAGTTTTATGAATAAAGGCGATTAATACCCAGCGGGAAAAGTAGTAATACATTACATGTGTGATAAATAATGTAATGTATTTTTCTGACGGACATGCAAATTTGAACGACTCCATTGTACTGCTGCCAAGTCCTTTGACTACATACCAGTTTTCTTAAACATATCCCAGCGAGCCTTTCGCCTTCATTAAAACTCTTTCGGCTCGCAGTTGAGAACTCGATATAGCGGTGACCAGAGAGTGAGTCGTTGAAAGATACACGCTACTTGGCGATGATAGTCAATATTATTAATAAATAGGTGACTGAAATTTTACTTTAACATACAAAGTCGAACACCCGGATAGCACAACTTTATTTTGCTTATACTTCAATACGAATATTGCTTTCTTTTTATTCGAATGATATTTTGCTTAAATGTTTGTTTAGTCTTAGGATATTATACACATGATAAAAACATAGCAAGGTAGAACCGTTCTCTCAATTTGTCGGCCATGATTTTTTTTTGAAGTTTGCCAACATTTTAAAATCATATAAAAGTGAAAATAAAAAATTGAAATTGTTCGAAATTGTTGTTGCTTGAGATTGAAAATGAAAATGTGTGTGTGAGTTTGTGAGTAAATTTAAAAATTAAATTGTTTAATTGTTTTTTAATTGTTTGGCACATTAAACAGGTAGTATCAGTAGAGCAAAAACAACATTTGCGTGTATTTTGTTGTTGCTTCTGGTATCGAAAGTGTCAAAAACTGTTCTGAATTTTTTCTTCTAAATCAAAGCGTGCCATGTGAAATACAAAAAATTATAAAAAATAAAAAATTGAAATTGGAAAAAATAAAAATTGATGCAACTTTCCTTCCTAGTAAATTTGTTTGCTTCTCGAAGCATTGATCTATCCTTTGCAAGGCCCAGTAATCACCGGTCGTGCTGCCGAGTTGGGCGAACGTTCCAAAAGCTGCTATTCAATCGCTTGTTTTGTATGGAAAAAGGTTTCACATGCAAATGGATTTTAACAATTCAGAATTTTTGTGAGAAAAAATTAAAAATATTTGACATTTTCGAGACCAAATAATTTGATAATAAATCAAATCAGCTGCTCTACTGATACTACCTGTTCAATGTACCTTGATTTTTATCATGATTATACACATACATACATATACATACATATTTTTGAATTGATAGTAAAATATTATTAAATATATTTTTGTATTTTTTAGTGCGAATAAATATTAAGCCTTTCAGATTCCTTGCCATTTAATAGCCTAAAAAGCTACGAAAAATCGTCGTCATCAGATCATAATGCAATAAGTGAGCGAATAGGTTAGGAGAAAGTGACAACTAGACAAAGGAACCAATCTGCGCCATACACACTCACATACGCAGGTATTTTAGACAAAGGACGAGCCAGAGTGGGTCAAGAGGTAAGAAGCGATTTGCGTCTAGATAAGAGTACAAGCTGTTGAACGTTACACAGGTAAAGGCGAAAAGCTTATTTAGTAGAGGTGTAGTCGTCGATGTGCACCGGAGGTGGCCTTTCTTTAGCAAAATGCCGATGTGACTAGACAACTTGAATGCAAGAAATAAAGAAATGCAAACTCTTAGAAGAGCTATTAAATTTCTGAAAAGCTGCATCAAGTCTTGAAAAAAATCAATGACATGAATGACATTGAAGCGCCACAAAAGCAATGAACTGACATTGAATTAGATAGCAGGTTAATTCGGTAATTCGATTGCAAGCACAATTGCACGTTTCGCCAGAATTTGGTGTTTGTCCTGTTACAATTGTAAAATGATGGCTTCGGATGACGACAATAATTCATTGAACTCATCACCAAAACGTGTCGCCCCGCTTGCCGAGCTGCAAGCTGCAGCATCTGCTACCACGAGCGCGACCTCGACCTCCAGCACAAACGCAACAATTGGTACCGCAAACGCGGCCATTGGAAGCCCCTCTACCCAAATGGGTCGGCGAAAGAAAGTCATGCCGCTAGAGCATGGATGTGAAGACAATTGGACATGGAGTAAACGGCATCGTTCCAAGGAGATAGTATTAAGTGGGGCCAACAATCGCACCGTTCATTTCCATCCGAATTGGAGCAAGGGTACGGCCGGGGTACAGGGCAAGCGACCTCTTAACAATGGTCGTTTCTATTGGGAACTGCATGTGTCACAGCGGGTTTTCGGCACTAGCATTATGTTCGGTATTGGAACAAAACAAGCGCGTAAGTATTCTAAATAAAGCTTATACAAAATTTGTAATGAATAGATGAGAAAGCATTATTTGTAGTCTAGGTATGGGGTGAGTAGGATTTTAATTTGTGGTATCACAGTTCTTCCGAGTCAAAGTAGTTATTTTGTCATTCAATCGGTGGATACTTCATTTCAGACTATTTACTGGCTGAAAATCTACAAGCTCTCTACAGCGAAAAAATATTGGTAATGTTTTGCCATCGGAGTTATAAGATTTAATATATGTATTTTATGATTTCCGCCAAAATATTTCGGCCGATTTGAAAATATCTACAAATATCGAGATTAGCTAATACTTACTATTACTAAATACTACTACTAGTAATTGAGAAATTGCGTCCTCAATTAATACCGTGCCCAAATTATTTTGTTGGCATGCGTGCCTTAGGTTTGCCAGCCCTGCATTAGACTGTCCCAAGAATATATGGAAACAAAGTTGTTCACAAATTTTGATATGCATACCCTCTGTATTTGTGCTTTTTAGCCTTAATAGATTATAAATATTTGAAGTTTTATGGCCTTAGGATAACGATAACCCGTGCCGTGCCGACTGTTAGTTGAAGTTTTAGTTAAAAACTTGCATTAATCGTCAATGAAAACTTTGAAAATGCGAAAAATGCCATATGTTTTTAATAGGTCGGCAGGATTTCTCCCAAGGACTTAAAGGACAATATTTTTTGCAGTTTTTAACTTTCAATATCCTTTTATATATTTCAGTGGTCGTAAGCAAAAACCCGCTTAAGTCGACTTAAGAAAGAATTGAGTTATACATATATGCTATTGTTTTCTGCAAGTACTATTCTATGTATATGTGAAACTCCCAACTCGTTAACTAGGCTATTTAAAAAGTAATAGATGAAAATATTTTGGCTTCCCCATAAGGTTAACATTACAATCCAAAGGTTTAAAGCGTTTTCTCCCAAATTCAGGTTTTTCGACTTAGGCGATTATTGCTAATGACCACAGATTTATAGGATTTAAATTAAACTAAGATTCTTCAAAATGCAATAGTTACAATTAATATTGTTTTGAATTTTTCTTTTAATTGACATCCATATTTTGTGTAAACTTAGGAAATATATTTTTCTTAATTTATGGTTGTTTGGAAAAAATCCTGTCAACTTGATAAAAACTAAGCCGATTTACTAAATGTTATGCCCTAATACTGTAGGGAGTATAGTTATACCGCCTTATATGTATAGAAGTAAAAGTCGGCACGGGTTGCCGTGGTCCGAATTGCATAAAATTTTATTAAAATAATTTTTAAGACAAAACCAATAAAATGAGTGAGTATGCATTAGAAAAATCCACTTTGGTTTTTTGGTGCCGTCTAATATACATAAGTATGTACATATAACGTACATATGTATAACGTTAGTAAAGCAGGTATTTTCCAGCTTGAAGTCACCTTTAACGTTAGACCTTGAGATTTATTTATCGATATGGTGAAGATAACCCCAACGGAAACTGAAGGCTTTTAAATTCAAATGGACGATCTGAGGAAATTAATGGGACTTTTTACAGAAAACAACTCCTTTCCAGCATCCAGTAATAATTTTTGCATTAAGCTTGGTTTTCAGCTCTCCAGAAAACGGTCAAGAAAAAAATTGCCATTATTTCTTGTATGTGACCAAGGAATTTTGACATCTGATCATTCACAGCCTGTTGCCTAGCTCTTTTCTTAAGAAATAATAGAGCGGGCACATATTTCTGGTGCAAACAGCTCTTTTTTCACAAAACACTTTAGTATAGAAAGCGTAGCAAATTTCTTATGAACTGCGTACTATCTTAAAGAAATTTTACACAAAAAAATATTACGTGGAATATGGTCACGAAAGAAGAATAATGGGCGCTTCAAAATTTAAATTAAGATTATGGAGGGTAACTCCTGATGGCTCCAGTGAATTCAAAAACTCCACGGGGTAAGCTAGGTTAGGATTGTTAAGATAGTCTTTCGCACGACCTTCAAGATAGAACAGATTGACGTCTACAGACAAATGAGATGAAGCAGGTCGGGGCCATTGAAGTGTCATCGTAAATAATAAAATGAAGTACCATTCTAGTATCAGTATTCAGAAACTTCTCTTAGTGATAGGTCCTTTGAGAAAATCCAGCAGAGAAAATAATGATCGGTTATCAGTCCAAGAAAACAGTCTTATTTCATTTATTTCCTTGTTTTCTATAATTATGTTATATTTATTGCAGGTCTTCACGCCAACTCATTTCGTAATATGTTGGGTGAGAACGAACATGGCTGGGGTCTATCGCACAAAGGAGTACTGTGGCACAAAGGTGTTGCGCTGCTTTACACCAAACGCTTCAAAGAAAATCATCCCACAGTTATTGGTATACTCTTCGATGGGATCGAAGGTACGCTCACCTATTACAAAGATGGCAAATGCTTGGGCGTCGCGTTTCGAGGTTTAGATAAGGTGGGCGAATATGTTTCACCGAATACATATGTAGATTTTAATTCCTTTTTGTTCTTCAGATCAAGGAACCGCTTTATCCGATTGTCTGTTCTACAGCTGCGAAAACCGAAATGACTCTGAAATGTACTCGACGCGATTTTGTGAATCTACAAGATCGTTGCCGTGCCGAAATTATCAAGCATGTCAAGACGAGCGAGGATTTGGTGAAACTAAAGTTGCCGCCACTGATAACGCAATATCTGAGTGAGGTGGTGAACGATGTGGCACCTCTGCGACAGGTGGATAATTATGACATACTATGTGACTTTTAGAAGGTAGCGTTTGGGTCTGGGAAAGTGGTTACTTAGTTGGTGCAGGCCCGGTTGATTGGTTACTAACCAATGATGTTTTTGTTTGTGTTCGCCTTTTTTCGGTAAAACAAAAATATAGTTCATTTGTCATTATACATAAATAATAGCAATGCATAGAATATTACTTAGAAATAGTATATGTATATGTATTAGTTGATTTTTGCAGAGTTTCAGTACGAAATCGCACTCAGAAAAGAGTCAGCTGAGTATATTTCTCTGAATCACTATAACCAAATAATAGTTAGTTGCATTCGCGTACCTGACAATTATTGAAAGTTATCGAAAGCTTTTTGTGTTCCCGTACGCAGAAAACTTGCAAAGTAGGGGAAATTGAGAGATAAAAATGATATTTATTTTTGAGGGGAAGCTGATAGTTTCTGTTGAAAAAAATGTTTGCCAACAGCGGTTTGCCAACAAGAAAACAGCTGGGTGGAATTTAAGCAAATCACTAAATTGAATTTGATGGTTTCGAAGTTAAAAATAATAAAATACGACGACATAAATTGTAAGAAGTAAGTAATTAATCGCCTAGCCAGTGAACTGTGTGAGGATAGGACTTTGGGATTTGTCTTCTTACGCTTTCAATTTCATACTTTTGAATGTAAACAGACTTTCTATCAGCTGTTCGTCTAACTTTCAAGTTTCTGCAAACATTTTTTTGGATATTTTTCTCTTGTAAGAGAACAGATTAAATTTCGCTGTTGGATATATTTTACTGGATATTTTAAACGAACGTACCTAATGTGTTGAGAGAAACATATTTAGCTGACGTAATTAAACTATTTTCCCAGTGTGGAGCCAGGTATGAAAATGATAACTGCACTTAGCTTTTTTAATTTTTTAACTGAGGATATTCCGTGAATTTGCGCTTTGTGCAGCAAAACTACCGCCGTTTTCTCGGCCAAAAAGGACCGTACTGCAAATATCTTAGCAGGGAACATCACCTTAACCATTGCCTTTTTATATATTTAAGGAGTTTTTGTGTATGTATGTATGTAGGTATGTATATTAGGGCTTGGACTACCCATATATTCGGATATCTAGATATCCGTGGGATATTCGAGTATACGAATAAAATCCCGATATCCGCTTAGTATCCATATCTATTATATTAAACAGATATCTGGTTAATATGAGTTCTTTTGGTTATCCGGATATTCTAATCAGTTCTCAGATTCGCTGAATCTATTGAGTTGCAAAACTAAAAATAGATTACAACACGTCTTTAATACATAAACAATTGTTAATTTATTGTTAGTTTAAGATTGAAAAATCCGAATATCCGCTCATTTTTTTACACAGATGTTGGGACTTTTTTATCAGATATGCGAATATCCGGATTATCCGGAGGAACTCCCAGCCCTAATGTATACATTAGCTCGCTTAATATTTTATGTATAGTACATTGGACTGGGTGGATGCCCACTAGGGGGGTCCAAAAATGCATGAAAAAAAGTAAAGTCGGAATTTGTATGCTCTCATCCCCTAGGCTTGCTCTATATCGAAGAAAAATATATCCCTATTTTTTTTTAAATCAAAAAATATTTAGAGGTCGATCAAAGCGCTCCAAGTTTTCCATGTACATATTTTATATGGCGACGAAACAACTTTTCGTGGAAATGGTATAGAATTCTTAAAAATCAATATTTTTAGACTATGTTTTTCTTCAGGAGATTCCCAATAATAAAACCCAGTTATTTATTTAACCATTTTTTCATAGTTACTTTATTTTATAGGTTTGCCAAAACCCCCGAAAATGCCAGAAAATACAATAGGGGAAAAATAAACAATCTTTAGTATTAAAAAATGGTTAAATAAATAATTGGGTATTGTTATTGGAAGTCTCTTGAAGAGAACCAGAGTTTTCCGATCGCAAAATATCGAATTTCAAGAATTCTATACCAGTTCTACGAAAAGTTTTTTCCCCATATAAAATACATGGCAAACTTTAAGCACTTTGAGCGACCTCTACTAAATATATTTGGATTACAAAATAAAAAATAGGGTTATATATTCCAATAAAGGTACCAGATGAAAGAGGTTTAAGAAGGTTGTAGTTTGAAAATATTTTGAACAGGGTTACCATCTGTTTAAAAAGTTGGATCTAATTAAAGTATCTAAAGTCATATAAAATATTTAAATATTAAATATTCAAAAATTAAATTCAATTCAAATTAATCAATTATCATTGTCCTGAGTTTTGGGCGAACTCAGGATAAGGTTGGATAAGTTGAACGAATTATTGCATTACGGGTATCAATCGATATAGTTCTGAAACGGCCAATTTGATCTATGTTGTTATTGAAATGAGTATGTATCACAATATAGCTCATACGAAAGAGGTTTAAGAAGGATTAAGTTTGATATTATTTTGAAGATTGTTAAAAGAAAAGAAAAAAAGGTGAAAATCTCCTACTTTTTGGCTAAGCTTAAGTTGAGTTTTATTGAAATCAATTACAACTAATGTTACTCGCACACCCAACGAAGCGGGTCGAAAACTACTTTACGTATAATTTATACTAGTACATATCGAGCCCTAACCGCCAAAATAACGTAAACGGAATTTTCTCAAAATTTTCTCTTTGATGCAGAAATATACCTAGAAGCATTTCTACACCAAAAATAAAATTAAAAAAAAAAATTCGCTTGCGTTACTTTGGCTATTAGGGCTCGATATACATTTAACACAAATATTTGTGTTCGAACAAATCAAAAAGCTTGTTATACCATGGTGGCTTAATAAGTAAAAAATTTTATTTTGCACTAATAGTTTTTCCAAATTTTCTACATTGGAGCTTTGCCTTTTATCATTTAAAAGTAATATAAATATTCAAAAAAAGCCTTTCTACTACACAAGAAGTGGTTGGGGCAAAAACAAATTTGTTCCAAAACTGTTCGAGAAATCATATTGAAATAGAGCGGTCTTCAGCATTGTTTAAAAAATTTCTAAGCCCGGAAAAAGAGTTTTTTACAAGCTTTTATTTAACTTCACTTGTATGTATGTATGTATGTATGTATGTATGTCCTGGAACTTTGCAGTCAATATTTAACAAACTTCCCGATGAGCTACAGACTTGAAACTTCAAACTTAGCTCAGAACTCGAGGACAATACAATTTAAAAGATGTTTTAATCCGCTAGGTGGCGCAGGAGTCGAGATATTTGTAAAACCCGCATTTATGGTCTGATTTAGTTCGTATTTAGAACATTTATTACGTATATGAAAAGAAATAAATCCGAACAAAAATTTTGCCGATAGGTGGCGCAGGAGTCGAGATATCTGTAAACCCGCATTTATAGTCTGATGTGGTTCATATTTAGAACATATACGACTTATATGAAAATAAATAAATCCACAAAAAATTTTGCCGACAGGTGGCGCAGGAGTCGAGATATTTGGAAAACCCGTATTTATGATCCGATTAAGTTCACATTTAGAATGCATATTGCTTACATGAAAAGAAATAACTACACAAAAAATTTTGGCAGTTATCTGGCGCGTGAGTCTATATAATTAAATATTCGGCATCTGTGCTCAAATTTGGTTTATATTCAGAATAGGTGTATTATCTATTTAAATTGAAATATATTGAAAATTTTGTTTGTTAAGTCAAATTTAGTATAATATTAACTGCAAGATTTCAAAAGACTAAAAAGTAGAAAATAATATTATAGTTAAAAAAAACTAAAAACACGCTTTTATTACAACAAGAACTAAAAAGTATAAAATAATTTGTAGATATAGCGATTCCGTTTAAGAAGAATAGGAAGTTCCCTAACCTGATTTAATTTAACTGTTTTAAGTTAGCTAAAAATAGGATTAAAGTGATTTACCCGTAGTTATAGTCAAAATAAAGTGCACTGTAAAGTTTGTTGCAGTTTTTTTACAGATACCCCATTGAAAGTTATGCCAAAAAGCTGCAACAAACTTTACAGGGGACTTTATTTTGACTATAACTACGGGTAATAATTATTCTTACATTTCAATTAAATGAATTTCGATGTCTGTCCGGGATCGCTAGAATGCTGAACAAAAATATGCAATTTCATAAAATTCCGATGTCTAATAATTAAGTACTTTACATCAGTCACAGAGGCCAGTCACAATTTTAAATATTTTTCCATATATCTATGAAGATTACATCAGCCTAGTTTTCACTGAAAACGAAAGCGCGTAGTAGGTATGTAGATAGGATAGTTAAAACACTGTCTATGGTGCCCAAAGCGTAAAGTATAAATGTATTTTATAGCAAAAAAAAAATGTGTCTTGAAAATTAAGTGTTTTTGGCTAAAACTCGTCTTTGAGTGCACAAAGGTAAAGAGAGGGATTTTCAGTCTCCCCCAGACACATTTCGAAAGGAATTTTATAAATTATCGACATATCGATCATTTACTTCAATAGTATCATAACTCAAAAAAGCAAAACTCGAGCTAAACATATACATACATACATATATGTACATACTCCCATAGTAGAAATGTATTTCAATGTATGAAATTTTTACACAAATTGGAAGAACATGTAGCGCCAATTTCTGCTTACCCAGCCAGCAAAATCATCGTAAACAAGCTCGTAATTGGAAATTTTCTCGAAGAAAAACCGGATTAAAAATCGTTTATGATAGCCGTTTACGACTCTTTTTCGAGCACTTTTTCGCTTTAAATTGTGCATCGCCTACGAACAGTCGTAAACGGATCGAAAAAGTATTCGTATGCGAATATTTTTACGTCCGTTTTTTAATTGTAAACGAGTCTCGTAAACGATTAATTTACGTTAAAAAAGCGTCTTTTTACACTGCTTTATCTACTGTTTTTGAATGCTAAAAATAGAGGCAATTAATTAATTCAAATTATTGTAGTTCTTTTATTGAATGGAATTATAATTAATAAATATTTATAGTGCCGGATCAAATTATTGGCACAGAGAATTTTTCGCAATGTATGCAAATTTTTTTACTTGAATTTCTTTTCGCACATTTTGTTTTTTTAATATAGTTAGTATGAAGACCTACTTTCAAATCAGATTTTTGAGAAAAATTCTAAGTATGCAGTTTTATATCCCATTATATTTTAGTATAACGTAGTGCAAGCTTGAAGTTGCCAGAAAACCGCGTTGATTTTTGGCAATTTTTTCACGCAGTTTCGTCCATGCAAATTATGTGCAACATTTTTTTTTTTTTTGAAGAAACTGCGTGTAAAAAATTGCCAAAAAAACAAAGAGGTTTTCTATCTATTCAAGCGCGCACTTTATTATACTAAAATTAAATGGGCTATAAAACTGCATACTTTGAATTTTTCTAAAAAATCTGATTTGAAAGTAGAACTTCATACTAACTATATTTTTATAAAAAACAATTAGAGAAGAAATCAGAATAAAAAACTTTGCATTCATGGCGAAAAATTCTCTGTGCCAATATTTTTTCCCGGCACGGTATATGTGAAGATATTTTCAGATAAATAAATATTAAAAAACTATCTATTAACAAATTAACAATTAAATAAGAGGGGTTTAATATATATTATAAAGCAGCTGAATTTATTTTTTTATCTTTTTTGCCGATGGGCTGCAAATTTTTTTTGGCGGTCGTGTGCATATTGGAAGTGCTTCTTTGCAACGGAAATAAAAACTTCTTCGTCGGAGTTAAATTTTTGACGAAAAGCACCTAAGAAAATAAAGTGAAAAATTAAACTCCATTGGAAATCGGAAAATTTAATTAAGTAAAAAGTGGTAAAAAATATTAATATCCGTACTTCTTATTGCCGCAGTCGTTGCCAAACCAATAGCTCTGCTTTTGGTACCAGTTCCCTTCCACGAGAAAAGTTCTGCTACCTCATCTATAATAATTTTCCACCAGCACGTTCTTAAATATTTATCTACATTTAAAATATTTAAATCCTTTAGTGTTGCTCCGCGCAGCCTGTGAAAGAATTGCAAAACTCGTTAAATTAATTTGTATTTTTGAATTACATATGTAGTAGCTACTTACAAGAAGTTTAATTATAAAAGAAAGTGGTAGATCGTCCTTTGCATTTGCACCAGTCTGCCAATAAATTACATACTTAATAATTTACTTAAATTGAATATTTAACAAACTACTTACTTATAAAATATTATGATTGAAGAAAAATTGTCAACAAAACTAAAATTTTTTCTTGTGCTGACAAATTACTACAAGCCTCTTTCTATTATATTTTTTGTTTTATCGTTTACGAGCTTTTCTCTAACTTTTTGGCGATACGAGAATCCCTCGTAAAACATAATGTTCGTAAAATGTACGTTTTCTTGCTGGCTGGGTACTTAACTGAGTTTTTATATTTTTTGGATTATGACACTATTGAAGTAAATGAGCGATATGTTAAAAATTATATTTCACTATAAGTCCTGACGACATAGCTATAATTCGCGGTGGATCACATTTGAGAATTTCTTCGAAGTGTAGTTCTATCTAGTAAAAAAATTTATCAAATATTTTAATTTTTAATTTTTGAAGGACATTATTATTAATAAAATCAATAGGCATTTTCACGGAAAATCATAAGAAATCTCTATGAAAGTGCCTTTGTTCCGTTTGTCTGTTATATGCCTTCATTTAAGAACTATTCATAGAGGCAATCTATTGATTAAATATTACAAGTCATTTTTTGTGTACGTAAATAAGCTTTTAAACTATGGCATGGCCCAGTCCAATGTACATCCATAAGTATATATATGTATGTGCATATGCAAGTATATATTAGTGCTTTGTGCTTCGCTTTCTAACTTCAATCGTGAAGGTCGTGCCATAAAATTAATGCACTTTAAAGGAAAGGGTTTTAAATAATCGCAAAGGGGATCTGGCACTTACAAAAATATATAAAATAAGATAATATCTATATGTACATATATACTTCAAACATGTGTATATAAGTAACTTTATCATAGCAGCCGTTAACATCTACATACATTCGATTTGCTGTAAACTTTGTAAAAATATGTATACATATATATAGGAAAGTTCTAGAAAAGAAACAGTCAGCAGGATTTAGTATTAGTTTGACGCATAAGAGAGCTAAACAAATTATTAGAATTGCATTTATTAATTAAATACTGCTGAGCGAAGCTAATTAAATCAGTAAATAAAATTTAATAAAATAAAAAAGTTTAATTAAAAACAATAAACAAAAATTTATTAGAATGCATAAGATAAGATTTAAGAAAGTATCTTAAATGCTTCGCTAATTCTCGTTATAAATGCTTATAGCCTTTCTAAGTTTTTTTTTAAGTCTTTTTAAGAATTTTTTTTTTCAATGCACATACATATGTACGAGTTTCTATACTTGTTTTCGTGAGTCCCAAAAAAAAAATACAGATTCTTGTACGTTTCTATTTACACTGGTGCAGGTGTTCCAAATAAACTTACAATATAATTTGGTTCAAAAAAAGACATAGGCCTGTTTGGTGCAATATTGTGATAAATTGTAAGATCATATTGTATGTTTGTTTGCTTATTTAAATTAGATAAGCAGTTATTAAAAATATCTTGAATTATTAAAACGTTTGATTTTCCTCAAATTTGACTAATTTTAAAATGTGTTTTTAGACTACCGAATGTGGCTGCGTGCAGAAATGCATTAAGCCAAATAAATCATCGGTCTTATTTGCGCCGTTAAGTTCAAATTAGGCATTTAACCGTGTTGCGCATATTGGAAATTTTCATCAGTTATATATCCCGCAGTTATAAAAGAGACTGTCACTTTGGCTTGATGCATTTCTGTACACAGGGTGCCTCTGAATTTGTTCTTTTTGGAAAATATGTTTTTTTTTTAATCATATTCATATTTTAGTATCTAGTCGTACTTGTTGTTTGTCTTCTGTTCGTTTTAAAATTAAAATAAGAAACAACTTTATATACTAGATTTGCAATTGCGCAAAGCTTTAAGGTTAAAAACATTTTGTAATTTGAGATACTAAAAATCGAGTGAAATTCTAGTCATGCAAGTTAAACGAACTGCTGGTGCTGAAATTGCAGCGCACCACGGAAGCAGTCATCAGTTTAAGAACTTACTTGTTCTACACATAATAGTCACTTGGGCAATAATGAAATGTGTATAGTAAAGTAATTAAAATGAATTGTAAAGAAATTAATGTCCTAATAAACGATCTGTGTCTTAAATGTCCGCTAGCGAGATTTTTTGTAGTTGCTGTGATGCGGTTGTTATTGTTATAACAACATAAACTTTGCCCAAACAGTTTGGGGACAAATACAGTCATTGGACAGATACATATAAACGGAACGGGTTACGTGGTAAGTAATGTATCCAGAAAATATTTACACATGTACAATTGGAGCTCGTTTCTGGATTCGGCGCCTTGTTCTCTACTGCTAATGAGTAGTAGAGAATGAGGTAATTCTCTAGCAGTAGAGAAATAATCGGTAGAGAAGAGTTACAGAAACGAGCTACTCGAGCGATCCTCGGTTTACAAGTTTTGTTTTTCTTCACATGGTTTTTCGCATCTCCAAAGTGTTTGTATAGGTACTTTTATTCATAAAGTAGTGCAGACTAAAATTCCCTATACATTTTGGAATATCTTTGACACATATTTCAAATTGTCTCGGCAAAGGCAGGTAGCCGAATGTTAGGGCCACGTGTCTAAAGAATTCAGTTCCAATTTGGTTAAAATCGTTCATAAGTTTTAACTACGAAAACTTCTGTCTATAATTTCATATACAGTGGCGCTCACCTAAATATCACACTTTTATTTTATACAATATTCACAATGTTTACGTGATACTTTTTTTCGTTAATTTTTTATAAGAATATAGTAAACCATATAAGTTAAAGTCAAAAACTTTGTGTAAAGTTCAGGAAAATTTAACAAATTTCAAAAAAAAATTCATCAAAATTTTCAACTTTTCTTTCAGGCTTTTAAGAAACTTATTGGGTATGCAAGTTTTGTGTAGCTTATTCAATTTTAGTATAATGCGCAGGTTTGAAAATTCGGAAAAATGCCGTTGATTTTTGAGGTTTATTTTGTCGAGGGTGTTCCTTATTTTCTTCCATATAAAAATAGACTTTGTTTATGCGTTATATGGGAGAAAATGCGCAACACCCTCGACAAAAAAAAAAAAATCTCAAAAATCAGCGGGATTTTTCAGAATTTTCAAACCCGCATATTATTATACTAAAATTTAATGCGCTACAAAACTGCATACCCAAACAGTTTCTAAAGATTGTGAAAAAAGTTGAAAATCTTGATTTTTTTTTTTTGAAATTTGTTAAATTTTCACGAACTGAACACAAAGTCTTAGACTTTAACTTATATGACCTACGTTATAGAATCTACTCTATTTTTATAAAAAAAAAAAATTAACGGAAAAAATGTATTACGTAAAAAATTGTGAATAATGTAAAAAGTAAAAGTGTGCAATTTAGGTGAGCGCCAATGTATATATTTCTTTATGGTCCCTGGATATAAGGCAGAGCTGTGTAAGTGTGAAATCCTTTTCAATTTTAAATCAACAATTTTTTTCTATCCAGTTTTCATTACTTATTCTTCGCTTAGGACTGAGGTTTAAAATTTTTGTTTTTCCATTCTCTCAAAGCAGTTATGAATTCACACATCAACATATTCATAGCAAGATTGAAAAAACCAATGTCCAATCAAAAAAAGGTTTAACACTGAATGAGTATTGAAAAGGCTGCAATCTTTTATGTGTGTGCATTCTTTAACTCAGTACCAATCATTAGTTCAAAGCCACCCTGGTAAATAACTTTTTGATAAAAATGAAGATTTTTGACAATTGCTCAATTGTAAAAATTCAAACCGGCGTTACCCAATTTAAGTTTTTTGGTAGAGGGGATTTTATATCATATGTTTGGGATTATATATAAAACAGTTGTATTAACATTTACGTTTTAAATATAATTCATGTTTTATCTTGAAAATGTTTAAAATTTACATTAAATTAGATAACTACTTCGTATAAGCTTTACATTTAGGTTGATAAAATTTTAGTGAAAATATTTTAAAAATCTTAGTGTCTTTAATAAAAAAATAGCTAATCATAAAAATTGTATCGCCGTTCGGCGTCGGCGTAAGTTTGTAGGTCCCTCCCATTTGTGTGACAGCAAAGGCGCACGCTACAAATCGGAGGAGAAGCTCGGCCAAAACTTAGCAAAAGTGTCAAGGCCAAAATATGATTATTATAAATAAATTTAGTTTCAAACAGGTCGCAACCCTCTTCAAACACCTCAAAAGTATTCCCAATATTATTTAGTTGTAAACCCGCATGAGTCCGAAATTAACATTTTTTAGCAGAATTTCCAGATTTTACCGGAAATCGTACATGGTTTTCTGGCAACTGAGAGGACAAATAAGAGAGTAAGTAAGGTCATCTCTTTGAATCATCAGAATCTACCTGGTGGTAAATTCTGGTAAATGTGTCAAAAGATCCGATGTAGTGTGTTTGACAACCAAATTGTAAACAAAATAGAAGTGCACTCTGCTAATGCATGTTGAAAAGTAAATAATTCCTTGCTTGAGTGGATGCTAATGAGTTTTGGTTAAATTACAAAACGCTTAAAAAGGTATTAGCCGTCATTTTACGTTTAAAAACTTTAAAACTTTAACACATTACCACCCTATACTCTATATGTGGTTGACGATTGAACTAAATCGTTGTTTATTTGGGTAAGATTAAAATATAGTTTACTATTCAATATTGGAGTTGGTGTGAAACAAAAATTAATAATTTATTGTTATGTATGCAAATGAGAATTACAATTCTGAGCTTATTGAGCATCTCTTAGTCAAAAACAAAGGCAATTTTGCTTGATCAAGTTTCGAATCTAAGAAGAAAATGTTTTTAACAAACAAAAGGTTAATAATAAAATTTGAAGGATTTAAGATATTGCGTATGGTAGCATGAAACGTCACAATCTTCTTAATTGTCAGGCTGTTGATATGGCTACGAAAAAGTGACAATGGAAACACATAGCTGAAGATTTCATACTTACTGTGGGATAAACTTCAAACCTCTAATATAAATTAGTTAAATTTTATTTATTTTTTTTTATTAATTTTATGTTTTCGTTTGGAATAATTTTCATGAACTTATCTATTAGGAGATGTCTTTGGAAAATTACCGTACATCCGATATCTATTGAAATTTTGGCATCCTAACTTTTTAGAAAAAGAAGTTCAAGATACAAGTTTGTGTGCAAAAAATAAATTAAACAATAAAAGTCTCCTTATATTTATGGAACTTATAATAGAAAAATTTTTATTTCATTACCCAGACTTTATGAATAGCATACTCTATAAGTAATAGTAGAAATTCCGAATTAGTAAGTTCAGTCAAGACGTCATTCAAAAGTTTTGAAGAAAATCACTTTTCTCCTATGTGAAAATTTGGGACTATCTTATGCGAGTATTGTCGACAAAATGTTAGTCTATGAATGACTAAAAATTAACGAATAAATGGTTAATCGCGATTAATGATTAAAATTAATTAAGCGATCGCTGTGGTGTAGTGGTTAGAAGTGCGCACTACCATTCCGCAGGGTGAGCGTCCGAGCCCAGTTCCGGCCAACAAAAAAAGAAAATGTTTTTTGTAATAGTGGTCGGCCCCCAGCAGGAGTCGGCGTAAAACTGTAGGTCCCTCCCTTTTGTGAGACAACATCAAGGCGCATGCCACAATCGGAGGAGTAGCTCGGCCAAACACTAACATATGTCGATGGTCCTCTGCAATAACGGCACAATTCAAAATTTCAGGTTTAGAAAAATACATAATTTGAAAGCTTACAGTATGACTGCATATTATTGCTAAATTACGAAACAAAAAATCTTTAATTGGCTCTACTGAAATATATGAAATTTTTAGTTGTGTCGATATGTAAGCGCCTTTCTATTATTATTAGTAATCATCAACACAATTTCAAATTACATAAACCTAGTCACAGCCCTTTTTGTATTCAACGCTTCCAGAAATCGCATAATACATAAAATAAATAAAAGCTGTTTTGATTAATATTACATAAACTGGAAACTGTTAAAAATAAGTGCGCTTGAGTACATAGATTAGAACCCATTTAGTTCCTAAAATGTCTGTTTGCAACACATAACAATAAAAATGTACATCAAATAGCTATGAATGATGAAGGAAATCGATTCAGACATGCCTGTTTAACTGGCCGTGCGTTCTCAAAACGAACACATTTTAATTAAGGGGCTATTCAAGTATTATGTAACCAGTGGGACGCGGGGGTCCTGGTTTGCTTATTTTTAATGACAAGGGGCAACATTTCTTCAAATAAGTAAAACATTAATTACATACGCACAAATTTTGCCTGCAATTTCGATCACAATTGAACACTGCACTTCACTCTCGTTTCGAATTTTCGAAAGCGTTTTTTAAGCTATTTATGGGTTTAACACTTCTTGTGGGCACTTGATATTGTAAAAAAAATATGCGCAATTCGATCCCTAACTACATTTTTTTGTAAAGAACGCCCGTTTGCTTTAAATTTGAAAAATACAATTATTTTTTTATTTTGTATACATCTGTCATTTGCTACAAATGAAGAAAAGTCCAAGAGTTGCCAAGTATAAATATCTTTATATCTATTTATTAAAATAATAATTTACAATAATAATTTATTTAATTAATACCTTACTAAAATACAAATTTGAAGTGCAAATACATTTGTAAAACTGTTTATCACAAAATGTTATTAATTGTTTGCAAGCATACTATAGTTTTCATGCATTTTGAGAATAAATAATCTAATATGTGTACATATATATCGTCGTTTAAAGTACAAAACCGCGTATCGTCATTCTGCAAAACCGTGTGACTGACATTGGCTGCCAAAAATTGGATTTTCTCACAAAAGCTCTTGGCTCAATTCTTATCCATTCGTCCTGAAATATACTAGCCAGAAATACGTTTGCTTTATAAAAAAGATAACCATTTTGAAATATGGGTGACTTTACTCTATAGAAAATAATTTATGCAATTACGCGGTTTTGCATTTTCTTGATACGCGGTTTTGTACTTTAAACGACGATATGTATAGCATGTACTTACGGCGGCCGCCGTAGCAGAGTGATTACATGTGCGTACTTCCACTCCATAGGACCATGGTTAAATACCGGGTCAGATCATAACCCAAAATAGCAGTCATCCTTCGGCACGCAATGGCAAACCTTCGAGTATATTTCTGCCTTGAAAACTCTTCTTATAAAATCAGAACTCATGCCTCAAGTTTGAGCAGAAGTTCGGCCAAACACTTAGAAAAATATTTTAGCACCAAATATTTATTTGTTTACTTATTTTGAGGGAGATGGCAATCTTCTGGTTTCACATTTTGAGTACAAAAATTTACAACAAATAGTATTAGTACTGAATGATATTGACAGATTGCATTCCCATAAACGTCCAATCATACATGATTGAGTTCTCTTTTTGCATTCACATTCTCTATGTGAATGGGTGTCAACCATTCCATAACACACTACATATTTTGAGTTTACAATTTGTAACCAATCTCAAGAGTGGTTGTTAAATTTTTTAAATCAAACAATCACATTTTTGAAACGAAAAAAATGAGAATGCACACTCAATTGATTCAATCATTACACAGCTCTGATATAAGGTTAGTAAAATTCTGTCGTAGTTACATTTGTCAACAATTTTGCAACCACTTTGTATGACATACGACAAAATGTGACAAAAATTTGTTTTTAATTTACGATTCTTTTTACAAAACCGCCCATCGACCAGTTGCAAAACCGCCTAAATCGCCGTTGTGGCAAAAATGAGATTTGGTAACCCTGAACTCCAGGCATCAAGATTTATGGATAAGAATCATAAAATCGTTATTAAAACAACAGATTTATAAAATAATAGAAATAATAGAGAAAATGCCGCCTCTCAAGGCAATGCCTTCAGAGAAAACCCGTTTTTTCCCTCTCCTGTAAAATTTGAGCGCCAAAACATCGACGATATGAATGTATATGACGGTGATACTGCGAAACATTCTATGTCAATTATTACCTCTGGTAATTAAATGATCTGTCACCAGTATCTGATCGTTATTGTTAATCGTTCATCTTCATCAGCCAAGGCAAGAAAATCTTGTCATTAGTTTAGTGAGAGCGTAACGGTTTCAAGATGCTATCCGGTGCAGTTAACAGACCACCTAAAATGGGTTCTAACTGACATCATTGACGATATAAACATCCTTGTCTAATCCAGGTCTAGTCCTTACTAAAGTAAGTATTAAGGATTGCTAAAGTAAGTATTAAGAATTAGACAAGGATTGCGGGCATGCGTCGTAAGGGTTTTTATTTGTTTAATTTTAAATTGTGCCGCCATTGCTCATTTTCTAAAACACAATCACAATCAAAAAAATAAAAGTTTGCTGTCTTATCTTTCCTTTTTTCAATTAGAACACAAACTTGGCCGCAGGGTTCGTATTTGCACACACATGCTCTGCTCACGCACACGCCAGAAACACATTCAACTTGCTCTCACTGCTCATACACACGTGTGTGCATATGTGGAAAACAAACTCTGCTCACAGAAAAGTGTGTGCTGTTTGTTATTAAGCACATGCACATGTGTATGAGCCGATTTTTGTACAAATTTCAGCCCATGCACATGCACATCATGATGCAATAATGAAAGGTGTTATACGTTGGCAACTTCTCGCTCTAATCCGCCATCTTGAACTACCTTAGGAGAAACTGTGTTGTTTCTTTGCTATTTTCACTGAACATTTCCCAAAATATTAGAAAAAAATTCTGAACAAGCTACATTGATTAAATTTTCGTTGTTCGTTTTGTTCTTATTCGCTGACATTTGTTTTCCAATTGCGTGAAATTTGGTAAGTATTGTAATAAAACCGAATTATTTTACAAATAAATTATAATTTTGCATTTATTAGGTCATTTCCTTAGTGTTTCGCTGACCGACCTGTGATGGTATTGTGATTAAGAGCTAATACACGTAAGTTACAACATATTATTTTGACTTTATTGATGAACCATTCCATTTGAGCTCTTTGTTATTTCAAAACCTAATGAACCATTTATTCGCAGATTTTTCGGACGATTCTGCTGTGCTGCGTTCCTGCTCCGCCTGTATATTGCTCCGCCCGTATTTTATAGTGTTGCGTTCCTGTTGCGCCTTTGCATTAGTGTGTGCGTTGTGATTTAGACACGTTGAAGTAAGTTGAAACCAGGTTCTCGTTTGTTAAAAACCTAAAAAACCATTTATTTGCAGATTTTTTGTATGCTTCTGCTGTGCTGCGTTCCTGCTCCACCCGTGTATTAGATTGCTGCGTTCCTGTTAACATACATATCGTCGCTTAAAGTACAAAACCGCGTAACTGACATTTGCTGCTAAAAATTGGATTCGCTCACACACGTTTTTGGATCAATCCTTATCCATTCTTCCTGAAATATACTAGCCAAAAATGCGATTGCTTTTTACAAAAAGATAACCATTTTGAAATATGAGTGTTTTTACTCTCTAGAAATTAATTTATGCAACCTCGCATACGTGGGTTTGCATTATCTCTATACGCGGTTTTGCAATTTATTGATACATGGTTTTGTACTTTAAACGACGATATGTATGTAGATGTATGTACATGTATATCACATATATTGACTTAGATATGTATACACAATTAATGGTGTACATAAATTTTTTTATATTGAAACTAGATATGTATAAAGTACATATTTTATTATTATTAGTCGGTTCAAAAAAGTCCTATCTCAAATAAAAATACTTCGAAAATGTGCTGAGATAGGGCATTTTTCAATCAAATTCTAAAATAGGGCGTTTTTCAGCCAAATTTTGAAATAGGGCGTTGAAAAGCTTTCTGATATCGGGCGTTTTCGACCTGGCTGCCGAGATAGGTCGATCTTCTACTCAGCCATCGATATATGGTCGAAGTTTTCGTTATATGGAAGACGATTAAACACGATTTGTTTTTAATCGATTCTAAAAAAACTAAGGTAATTTTTAGCCACTTCAAACTTGCATATAATTAGACTAAAATTGAAGGGGCTATAAAACTGAGTGCTCAAAAAAATTCTAACACTTCTGAGAAAAAAGTTTGAATTTTGGTTGAAAATTTGTTGTATTTTTTGTAGTTTTCTACGATGTTTTAAAATTCGGTTTATATGGGTTTTGTTAGAAATTCAACTTTACTTTTGTTGCAAATTCTAAGCAATAAATAAATTAACATGAGAGGGAAATAATATCACTTTGAAATGGGGTTGCTATTGATATGACCGATATTGTATGTATATAATAAATTTTGTACAATTAAAAAAGTGGATTAACTAAAATGAACACAACGTATTAATTACAAATTCTGAAATATGTCGTCAATTTCAAAAACAAATAAATAAAACTTCAAAAAGTAGTCACGAACTTGGATATACGTGGACTTGGGTAATGTATAATTCCTTGTATGATTCCTCAAAGTATCCCTTGTATAACACTGTGGAACACAAAAAAACCTTAGTGCGACTATATCAGGTTTGATAGCTGTTGGCCATACCAATAATGCCTCATACTAAGATTTACTAGATAAATTCGTGTTCTCCGAGAAAAAAAATTTTCACGATCCAAAAATCTGAAAAATTGTTTTTCTCCAAAGTTTGAACATTTATCGTTTTTGGCCTATATTTTGTTGAAAATACCATACAAAGCAAATATAGGGCAAAAAACAAAGGATTTTCAAAATTTTGAGAAAAGGATTTGGCGGCTATACTTAGATTTTTGAATCGTGAAATTTTTTTTTCTCGAGAACACGAATTGATCAAGTAAAACTGAGCATGAGGCATTATTGGTATGGTCAACAGCTATGAAACCTGATATATGCGCACAAGAAGCCTATATGAAAGAGGGGGACAAAAGATCACACGTAAATGAATTCCTCTTTTTGGCCTGTACAATATAAGGGACACATTTCAAATTCATAAGGGATAATTTTCTTAGTGATACGGCTCATAAAAGTAATTATATAAGCCATACTGTTCTAGCTGGGTATTCATCATCTCGAAAATTTTAAGCATATTATCATATTCCTGTGAATAAAAACACTCCTAATTTTATTATTTTAATTATCTACAGTTTTATGAGACTACCAAGCCATATATATACCTATTCTGATAATCGGAACGCTGTTGAGAAGGCATACAATTTAGTACTTTTTCAACTAAAAGGCTTTTTTTTATTCCCGTTTATCTTGTACTTCCAAAATACAATATTGACCTAAGGTAGTTCGATTTCGAGCTGTCACAACGTACAACACCTTTCATTATTGCATCATGCATGCACATAATATATTTTTAAAAGAATTTGTTTATTAAACGTTATTTTTTGAAAGAGAATTCAATAAAAAGTGAGATGTTGTTTGTTTTTTATATGACAGAAAACATATTAAAAAATTATTTTAAAATTTGAGTTAGAATTCGAAGTGTATAAGTTTCTCCACGCAAAGCACACACATGTGCATGTGCTTTATATTAATAAAAATAAAGTACACACATGTGCCCGTGCTTTTTACCAAACGGCACACACATCCCTGCCAGCATTTAGAAGAGCGTTTTCTCGTCTATCTCAAAGAAGT